TGCCGGGACTCGGGCGGGCTGCGGGGCTCCGGATCGCGCTGCGCGGCCCCGAGGGGCCACCTTCACCTCGCATCTCTGAAGAGGGAGCGTGGAGCTCAGGTGCCCCACGAGGGCCGGGAGGAGTCCTGGCTGGAGGTGGACGCGCTTCCCCGGGGCGGGCCTCCGCAGCTCTTCCCTTCTCTTCCATCTCTAGGACATGGACCTCGCGCGCCTGTGGCTGGGGCTTCAGCTGCCCCTAGTAGCCGCCCTGGATTTCCGATACCACCACCAGGAAGGGATGGAAGCGTTCCTAAAGAGCGTTGCCCAGAACTACAGTTCCATCACGCACTTACACTGCATCGGGAAATCTGTGAGAGGTAGGTCGCCTCCCGCGCACGTCCCCAACCCTCAGCTCCCGTTCAAAAGTTTACTGAATGGCAGCGTCTGGTCCCCTTGTCCGGGACGCTCCGGGGACGCGCTCCACTCAGGTAAAGCATACCTTGCCCGGCCGGTGGTTTTGTGCTGTTTGTTGTTTGGTTTGGTTTTGTTATATCAGGGCAAGCAGTAAGAGGAGGGCATTGTTTATCTGGGAGGTGTACTTTCGTTCCCTTTCACGGTAAACATCCTCCTAAAATGTTTAATCTGACTCAGTTTCCCTTTTTGTTGGCTTCTTTGCACACTGATTGGAATTGTTAACTACTGTTTTCTCGGGCTGCTTTTAAAACAGACACTGCCACCATAGTTTTGTGGAGTTCTATGCATGTGTATCTAACCCTATGGCTTAAAGTTATGAGAGAGAGCAGTTATATGACTAAAGGCTGCTTTCAGAATATATCCACTTAAAGGACACATCTGCTAGGTAATAAGTAGCGACGAATGACATATTCTTGACATGCTCGTGTTTGTCACTTATTTTACTTTAATTTAGAAACTATATATTATCGGTGGAGGAAGCAGATGTGAATCATAGGAATTAAGTAGTTTGGTCAAGTCACCTAGATGGCGATTTTATTATTTATTTATTTTATTTCACTCCTGGAGATCAAACCCAGGGCCGCATGCGTGTTAGGCAAGCACTCTATCATTGACCCGATCATTTTGAGTGGGACAAATTTAGCAGCTATCATTATTCCTTCATTTTCTGTTAGTTACTACATTGATTCCTGCCCCAAAGTGGTTACCAGAAAACTTAATGCTTGACATCAAAGATTCATAAAATTAACGAAGTTTGGATCACAACTTTGGAAGTTGTATTCAAATTTTGCCTGAAGTCTTAGCTCTGATCTTTTGACTCATTTGGGAGTCACATAACCATATTACTAAGTAGTCACTTTTTCCTAATGGTTAATATCATGGTTCTTATGTTACAGAAAAATATTGAAGTACAATAAAAAAATATTGGACTGTGTAATAGAAGTTTTATTTTTAAACCACATTGCCAAAGAGTTGGTGCCAGACATAATCTGAAGTAATTTGGGCTCTAAAAGCCCAAACTATAGAGGTTAGTTATGTGAAATTGTATATCTTGAATCAGTGGATATAATGAACCTCTCGAAATAATTTATCCCAAGGGCTAGAGTAGAGCAATTTTAAAAGATTTAAGAATACTAAATGTATTAATAAAAGAAATGCACAACCTAACTAACTTGCTGCTATTTTTTCAATCATTTTGAAACTACGAGGTTATGGGTTGCTGTAAATATAAGTACTAAACGGCTCGTGTTTTTGTGTTTCCAGACACGACTGATGTGTTGTTGTCTTTCCAAACACAAGGTGCTTATGATAGATGGGTAGGACTCTCTGACTGTGACACAAATCAGCCACTCTGATCTGTCCCACCTGAAATCCAACCATGAGAATAGTGAAAGCCAATAGGCTTGCCTTTGATTTTAGCCTTGTATGCACATTTGTGGTTAAGGAATAGAGAGGTTATCATGTTAAAATAAACTTTGGTATGACCATCAAGTGTTTGTGTTGAGTATGTATCTCTAGATAATTACTTGAATTAGAAAAAAAAATTCCCAAGTCTCCCATTGGTTCCAGGTAGTGGGTTAAATTGTACATCTATGATTAGGAGCCAGTTGCCAAGGTAACCCTACACTTTAGTGTGTTGACTGAAGCATGGTGTTCTTTCCACTAGTTAAGAAATTTCCCCTGAACCTTTTGCCCTCTGGTGTGGGATGTTGTACTTAGCAAGCAGATTTTACTCTAGATTTCCTTTCTCCTGTTGTCAATATGGACAGCCTCACCCAGAAGAGAGCATAATGGAACATTGGCCAAGTGCATCTTGGGTTTTGTAAATACGGAAATACATTTCTGTTGCTGCAATTACGAATTTAGCTTTTTTCCTGTTTCACACTGTTTTATTATTTATATTTAGCAAATATGATTTGGACTAGTGATTTGAATTCTCTTGATTTTACACTCTGGTCTTAGTGACTTGCCTCCTTGGAACATTGGAATACTTTTTGGTTATTTCTGTTACAAATGATGATATAAATCTATTGATGTGGACCTTAATACTTATATTATCACTGAGTTTTTAAAGATTATTTAATTTTATTCTATGTGTGCATGTGTCTTGCTTGCACATTTCACTGCATGCACGAGGTGCCCACAAAATCCAAAGAGAGCATCGTATCCCTTGGAACTGGAGTTCTAGCTGCAGTGAGCCTCCATGTGGGTGCTGGGAATTGAATTCCAGTCCTCTGGAGAAGCTGCCAGTGCTCTTAACAAATGAGCCATATTTTCAGCCATGAACTTTTACTTTTAAAAAATTGAAGCTCACACAATAGGTGAGCACGAATGTACTTTTTGGTCAGTCCATATTGGACTCAAGGCTTTGAAGGAATTCTTACAACCTGTTGACATTGTGTAGAAAAATCTTAGGCCAAACAAGAGAAACAGCTCAAACCTAATCACCAAGTCAGGATATTTTTAAAGGGCACAATATTCAATATTTGTAGTATGTCTGTGTGTGTGTGTGTGTGTGTGTGTGTGTGTGTGTACACGCGCATGCGTTCAAGTGTAAAATGAATTGCATATCTGTTTAAAGAAAGATGTGTCCCATCTGCTGCTTGTCATCAGGTATCCTCTTTCAGATACAAATATATTTATTATTAATTTCTCAGGCTCAGCTCTCTACACCTTACCAAATCAGTTTAGGACTATTGCTTACTCTGATTTTTTTTTTAAATTTTTTTCTGAAAAATGCTTTGGCTTTTGTTTGTTTGTTGTTTTGTTTTGTCTTGTTTATTGAGACAGGGTCTCACTATATAGCTCTGAATGTCCTGGAACAAAACTCACTCTGTAGCTCAGGCTGGGCTTGCACTCACAGAGATCTGTCTGCCTCTGCCTCCTGAGCGCTGGAATTAAAGGCCCATGCCACTATGCATGGGTTTGGTTTTTTGTTTTGTTTTTGTTGCTGTTATTTTTTTGAGACAAGGTTTCTCTGTATTACTTTGAAGGTGTCTTGGAACTAGCTCTTGTAGACCAGACTGGCCTTGTACTCACAGAGATCCTCCTGTCTCTGCCTCCCAAGTGCTGGGATTAAAGGCATGTGCCACCAACGCCCAGCTGAAACAGGGTTTTAAATGTAACCTGGGTTGGCCATGAACTAACTATAGAGTGCGGGCTTGCCTAATCACATGATCTGAGGAGTTCCCTGCAGATGTATCTAGGAAGCAAACTGCTCAAAGAGATAAGAATGAAAACTAGTGCAAACTGACTTTCAACCTGGATCAGACTTCAGAGTAATAGCTTGATTCCCAATGTATTTAAGCCCAGCATATTTTGGGGAAAAAGTTTCCTGGTGTAATACAATCCAAGAAGATGGGTTCTAGAGATATGCTACCTGTACTAGCTTAAGTGCCTAGGGGCTGGGCCTGGTCACAGTCAAACAAAGAATGTAGAGGTCATCTGAGCTGTGAGCCACCTCTCATCCTGGGTGAGGGAGCTTGGGGGAGCCTCTGGCTATCAGGGTCATTTGATTACTAGCCACCTCTAGTCCTGGTGGGCAGAGCTTGATGTGGCCTGACCCAACAGATAAGGAAGATCACCAGGCTGTTAATCTCTTCCAATTCTTAGCTTTCTGGATGGAAGAACAGGTTTTCCATCTTTCCCACTGGAAAGACAATTCTGTGTGCTTAACATTCCTGGTTTCTCTGGAGGTCTGTGGTGCCCCCAACAAAGATCCTCCTACTTCAGCTAACGTAGTACTGGAATTGTAAGCCTGTGCCACCACACCCAGCAAAGGCTAACTTTCAATAGATTACAGCAAAAGAGCTATTCATTGCATGTAAAATCCCAAGGAGCATTTGAAATGCTTCTTCAGTATCTGAGTTGAGGATCGTCTCTTGTCTATTACTAAATCTAAGCTCTTTTTTTTTTTTATCTGAATAAGCAGTGTTGCAAGGCAAAGGGGTAGATACTCTGTTACCAGCTACCTTCCATTTACTGAATGCTTGAATATAATATTTCATCATCACTGACTCAAGTGGCATTATCCTGGAGAATATGTTGAATGGGTCATGCAGAAGTTACATGGGTAACATTCATTAGAAGATTCAAACTTGGGGCTGGAGATAGGGTTTGTTCCATGAAGTCCTTGCTATACAAGCAAGAGGACCTGAGTTCAGATACCCAACATGCAAATAAAAGGCTGTGTGTGGTGCCTTGTACGTGTAACCCCATCTGGGTACAGAAGAATCGGTGGGGCTCATTGCCAGCTGGTCTTGCCAAATCAGGTGAGCGTCAACTTCAGACATAAGTGGGAAGGCAATAAAGAAGGACACTCACTGTCACCTCTGGCCTCTGTATGCGGGTACACACATGCATGGATATGTGTAAAGAAAGGTTTTCTGGTTCAGCAGAGTCCCACTGCCCTTGAGAGCCCCAAATAAGCACACAGACACTATATTAATTATGAAACTGTGGCCAATGACTTGGTCTTCTTATTGGCTAGCTCTGTCTTAATTATTAACCCATTTCTGTTAATCTAAGTATTTCCACGTGGTCTAATCGTACGTGAGATGGGTCCAGACCTCTAACTCATTTGGTGGCTCACATGGCGACTGCCTCTGCCTACATTTCCCAGAATTCTCCTCGTCTCTTAGTCCCTCCTATATCCCTGCCTCAATTGGCCACAGTGTTTTATTCATCAACCAATAACAGAAACATATACACAGAAGGACAACACCCCCATTACATAAGCAATGATTAGATTCTGCTAATCTTCTAAGCACATCTCCTTTCTCTTTGGAGATACACCTTGCCACAAATGGAAATGGTTACAAGGTATTTGGTTGGTTTCTAAACTTTTCCCATTATGTGCAGTGCCATGGTGAGCATCCTCATAACTAAGAATTGTTTGAGCACA